ATTATCTGAAAAACGTGATGTATTTGCCCAATACATTTCAGATTCATTATATTTGACATTTAGTTTTTCTTTTCATTTTCATAAGTAAACTGACTTGACAAGTAAATGCGATTAGATTTGTCGAAATGTATTGCACAAATACATCACATTTCTCAGATAATCTTCGTATTCTAATAACGTTAACGAAGTATAATGATGAATTGAAAAGTGTCCTCTTCTCACTGTTTGCCGGTCGTTTACGAATGCGCTGAATCTTATAGTAGAAACTGTCCCACTTAATACTAATTGCAGGTCCCCAAATGGTAAAGTCAACACTAAGGCAGCCTTCAAGCACATTTAACTAAAGCGTATTACAACATAAATTTTCAGGAAATTTAAATCAGGAACACATTTTGATATCCTGTTGAGTTCATTAATCTAATGTGAAACTGAACACAAAATAATTTGGTAAGTGGTTTGCGGAGATTGACTGATTTTACTGTAGTTTTTACGATGAACTAGCGTAAGTTGGCGAAGTATTACTCTGCATTCACACCAACGACACACATCCTGATGGTTATGAGATTGATCCTTCTCAGTGCCACTAAAGCGCACTTTTGAGGAGTTCCAAATTATGAAGAAATATTTGTCTAACTCTCTGTTATTCTCGACCAATAAATACAGGAGCAGCTAAATTGTTTGGTTTACTGTACCTATACACAAAGTTCTAAATCTTTAATGACAAGTGGCTTAGGTATCAGCTACCAACCTGAAATAAAATTCCTTATAATGCATTCAGTGTTGGTTTGATTAATAACATAATTCAGGCATACACATTGAAATGCAGAAAGTACTTCAATAGCCAAATTGTTTTGTATTCACTTGTTACATTTCATCAGCTATTATGTTTGTGAATTGAGTGTGGTCACTGAATAAGTCTTGCTTTCAGCAGCCTTTGATTTAGACAAAGATAAAGGAAAAAGATTTTCATGTTAAACCGAGTATCGAATCGAATCTATCACCTTAAGAGAAATCTAGCTAATTGTTTCACAATATCCTAATAGTCTTCATTGAACAACCAGATAGATTAAATGTCTCATCACCCACAATAAAGTACTTTTGGACAATTAAAACTTGGCTCTAAAACCATGCACCAAAGTCCTACTTGGTAGGAAGTACCAACACTTTACTTCTGACACCATGACAATTTTCGGCGTAAATTTTGAACATAGTATACAACTGTTATTGTATGTGATTTCCCATCGTTGTTTCAACCAAGTCTAAGTGAGAGCAACATCACTCACTGGGAGGCAGATATATTTGGCTGATGAGTTTAGAAAAGGATGAAACGCGTATATTGGACTTCACTGTTAGCCACCATCCATAATTACTATTTTATATGATTTAAGACGTATCTCTCGAGTAAATGAGTCGTCGTAAACACTAATGTCTAACTAGTCAGTAGTGACTATAAAAATTCAGTCAGACTGAATGTTATCAAGTCAGATCTTATCACTGGGTATATTTGTGAGTAACGATGATTTGTTTATGGTATTGTAATTCAGTTATAAGTTATTGTGCACTTCTCTGGGATAACTATATTTAGAAACGTTGGTTGCAAACAACCAAACCACTTGACTGTTTACGGATATCTGTAGCTCATACTTGTGAAAGGATAGGGAAGGGATGTTCTGCATCTCAAAGTACTTCAATTGCAACGTAACAAACACTCAGAAGCATATTGGCAGTACTAGATTTCTATTGAACCAAAAATATACATAAGCGGGAAATATAAACTAAACTAATTTCTTTCGATCATGATAGGTACTTCAAAAGCATCCGACTCAAAAATCGAGGTTAACGATTAAAGTAGAACGACTGAGAAAAACATTCCTAAAGAATAATGAATTAAGTTTATATTCAGAGTCTGATCGCAAGCTTGACCTGTTACTTAATATAGAAGTAAGGCTTGAGTATCGTGGTAGATCGCAATTCCGTTTTAGTCTGTTTCACTGTGTGACACTTCTAGTAAACAGACTAAAATAGAATTGATATGTTCCTCATCTTATAAATTAGTTGCATGCGGATGCACATGTGATAAGATTGAAACTTGAAGCTAATATGACACTAATACTGAATTCATTACCGTCAAAGATTTTCAGCTGAGCAAAACGTATTTAGTGCCCTGAAAGTGAGCTCAACACTGTATTTTAGTGCACCAGGCATTTGACTGCCTTGTGATGATTAGTAACATTTTTACCAAACTGAACCTGGTAAAACTTACTTCTTGACAGTATAAGGAATGCAGTTCTTTACATGAGCCAAACTGACAATTAGATACAGCTTATTGGACCTAGAAAAAATTACCATAACAAAATAAGTCTGTTTTATATGTAACCTCTAACAGTAACAAAAAGGCAACAAAAGAATCTAAAGAAATAAACATCTAATCAGGCAGTCAATAAATATGGAGTTACTTGAATATAGTGTTATTCTGTCCATTAACTACAAATTTAGTCCCTACAAAACGATTCGAAGTAACGAATGACGGGGTGACGATGAAGCTTGAGAGGTACTATTGTAGAGTAGATTGTTAATGCCTCTAGAAATGGGAAATTGGTTTCCTGTCAAAGTTGCCAAAAACAATTTATTAGAGTGGATCTCAGCCGGGGTCAGAAACAAGCGGAAGGCAGTGAAAGCGAATCATCGTATATTTCCACGCAATCCAAAGCAACAAATTGCATAATTATATTCGTGGGACTTACATATGTCAAGAAAGATGCACGAAATGCAATAAATGACATAAAGAAACTTTAGTTTCCATTTGAAGATTTATAAAAGCTATTTATACAGTCTCCACAGACGTAAAATCCCACATAGGTTTAGTCAATTTCAATATGTTTCGCTATAGACGAAGAAGAATGTCTGTTTGTGTGTTAAATTGTTTCTGAACCACTGCGAAGACAGTTAATCCTAAACCCGATAATTTCCTCAGCCCCAAAGAAGAATATATTTCTTAAAATATCATACAGAAGGAAAACGAGTAGTATGATGTCAAAACAGATTAAAAGCTGTTATCAGTAAAACATAGTATGCAGCTCAGCTTATCATTGAGACAGCAAAACACCAACTTCACCACAAACCTCAACCGCGCATAAATGATTGTCACATCCCACTGAGTTTACCAATTTACATGTTGTCTGAGCACACTATATAGGAAGGAGTAATGGTGCCATGCAGACTGGGGTGAGTGGATATATAACTAAATGGCTTGAAAAACAATTTAACACACCAACTTTGATAAGTACAGGTGACAAACATACATCTTCATCTATAGCCAAACATATCGAGATGAGTCATAAGGTTAATATGAAAACAGTCTTGAAGATATTATATAGGAACAGTCACGTAAGCATACTGAAGCGTTAGCCATTCGTAAACGTAAGCCCCTGTTGTGTGTACAGATGCAATTTGTTGTTTCAATTAATTTACCTTGGTAACCCTTATCTGATTATGTTACCAAGACTAGTGTCACAACCTTTTCATGTTCATTATATTTGACCTTTCATTTTCACATATAAATTGACGACTTGATAAGTAAATGTTTGATCGGAATGTTCGAAATGTATTGCGCAAACACATCACATTTTTCAGATAATCATCTTGTAATAACACATCGAAATTTATTAAAGGGACTAATTGTTTCATATGACTTTGGATAATGTAATTAGAAGACGTTTAGATTAGTCTCCATTTTGCATGGAATTAGTTTTGAGTTTACACATTACTCGATAATATATTAACAATAAGTGGTCGGTGATAAAATCATCAGTTAAACAATCCATTTTGGCTATCTTGTCTAATGTGCAGTTAACTTAAAGTCTCATAGTCAGTGTTTACGCCGATACACATTAAATACAGTTAAAAGACACTGATAGTCATTACCCAATGACTATCTAAGAGTTTGACAATGAGAAAATAAACAGAGTGCTCAACATCGAATCCACTTAACTCAGTTTAGACTGTTGACATGCTCTTAGTTACACAGGAACGTGGCAGGTGCCAGTTCATCTTTAAAGAAAGCTCACACCTGTACGTTGTATCCTCCAAGGAGAACAAGGAGAAATTATATTACACTGTACGCTCGTAAGGCTAAATATAAGAATTTCACTGTGCCTTACTTGGCACGTACCGTATATGAGGGAAAGTTTAGAACAGAACTCACATATCAACTTTGTAGTAATAAATAACCAGTCTTTCCAATATCTTAATCATTAATGTATAACTTCTCTCATTACTACTATTATTTGCATAATGTAAATTGCTGTAGTAGTTAGCACCACTCGAAATGTTGTAAAGGAGTATATTTTGTTACAATACATTACATATTCTTGAAAATCCCAAACTGCATCAAAATTTTTTGCAACTCAGTTATTATTTTTACTATATAGCCTACAGCAGATTGGTGGGAACTTAACTAAAACCAGCAAAAACCGGAAAAATCTCAAACTTTTTGAGTTCAACATGTTAATTGACACTTCTGTAAATAAGGGCAAATAAGCAGCGTCGCCTTGCTATCATGAAAATTCTCCTTTTGTTCAACTTGGAATTCTCGTTTTATCTCATAAAAGCGTGACTCAATGATTCACCCTAACAACCAGTTAGCTTTCTTTATTTCGTCAGGAAAATTAATTTTTCGATAACATAAAGAAAAGCAATCGGTTATCATTTCAGTAATGGTCTTTAAAGTCACTCGAACTGAAACCTGTCTTATAGGCCTATCCGTCCAGAAAAGTGAATTGAGTAAACGATGTTTGTTTAACATTGGTGAACAGCAGTAGATCAGACCTGAGATTCAGTTGCTATTTTCAAGCTTTGCTATTGGCTGATAGAAATGGTAACTTTGTTCCATTAATCTATCTGGTGATTCGTGTGTGTGATGGAGATGCATCAGCTATGACCTTGAGGCTGATTGGATAAATAAGTGGTATAAATAATTTATGTCTGAGCTGTAAATCACGCTTGTGATCTCTGTAAATCGCTTTCATGACATCAGATTATCGTGCAACTAAGTCCGGTTTCGCTTTAGATATGCAGCGAAAGCTTGATAAAAAGTTTGATGGTAAGGAAGCTGCTAAAACTTTGCGATGGATACGACAATTAACTCCACCAAATATCCAGTTGCCCGGACCGATGTCTGTCGCTGTTGAGAAAATACCGAAAGACATTGAGGATGTAAGTTTCGATGATTATCATGAATATCTGTATAATGGCCTTATTTTGGGTTATTTAATGGCATGTTTGGATCCAAATTTTGCTTCGAAGTTGAACACTAGTAAAACTTGGCAAGTTGCAGAAAAAGATATGTTCGAAATACCTAGACAATGGGAACGCATTTGTTTATTCCTAAAGTTTGCTGTCGCTATTGACGTGAGCCCTGAATCTCTTTTCCAAACAGACGAGCTGCATGAGAAAAACAATCTTCCTCAAGTTGTTGTTTGTCTTAGTCAAGTTGGGATTCAAACACAAGCAAAGCCTGGTTTCAAAGGTCCAGCAAACTTTTGGGTTCAGAAACATAAAGAAAACAAGCGTGCTTTCACTGAGGAACAGCTACGTTCAGGAGAAACTATAATTGGCATGCAAGCAGGATATACTGGTGGTGCTAAAGCCTCAGGTGTTAATTTTGGCGGTCGCAGGCATATAACTGATACTTTCTAAAGAGTCTGCCTACTACAAATAAATGCAATCATTTTGGATCTATGTAATTTTGCAACCAACACGCCATAAAATTTTTTATTTCCTTTGAGAGCGCGTACATCATTCTGTTTTACAGTCCAGTTAATTTTGATGTTCAGTTATACATACTTCAGTACTTTCGGTATTTTTGTTATTTGGTACACTTGCACGGGATAAACTTCGAATGCTTTTGATACAGTATCACACCATGAACTGCATGTAATCTAAGAGCAGCAAATAAACTGATTCATATTTTTATTAGTTCGTTTGTTTTCATTGCGTTCTTGAAAATGGACATGATGTATGAGTGAATCTAAACGCTACCTTAGCAACAATCAAGATAACTAATCAGATTTCTTTTTATGAAAATCTACCTTTCTAGACGAAATAAAGAAACCTTATTGGTTATTTCACTTGTTGTTAGGGTGGCCTTAAAGTAGTTTGGTTATATGCATTCGGCATCCTATGTGCTACGTAGTTCCTATGTCTCTGACAGACCCGTTCTTCTAGACAAAGACTAATTGTATAGGGGAGATTGTTGCGTATACTAATAACTTAACGGAAGCATGCAGTATGATATAGTTGTGAATATTGACTTTAATAGTGGTTATTTTACTACTACATCCTAAAGTTACCAGATTTAGCATTTGGATGGACTGCGCCTTTTTTACAGCATAATTTCGGGATGCGATTTGATTTAGTTTTATCCAAGCAGCCCGCCACTGTTTTCATTAGTATACTTCCATTTGGTGTGCTTTTTTACCACGGCCGTTTTCTTACCAAAAGGATTATCCTGTTTAGTTATCTTCAGTTACATGAAATATAAGGACAGGAAGGAATAGTTGAAAAACTAGTTTGACTGAGATATGTTCCCTGCAGTTTATTGCCAGAAAATGTAGGCTTTCAAGTCCATATATCTAGAATTGCTAATATTGTGGTCAATAATTACCGAGCTAAGATATAAGGGCTCATTTGACGAAGAACTACATGGCTTCGGCATGATCTCCTTTTGATACCGTCTGTATGTTTGACGAAATGGAATGGGAAGTACAGTTTTGAGAGAATAATATGAATTCATTCATTCTGGTGACTCTTTGACAGCTGCTCGCAACCTTCAGCATGCGTAGTAAGTGACAGACTATGTACAATGGTTAAGGTTGACTGCTGGTAGCATGGATCAACACTATGGAGAGGAACATGATTTCGGTGACTTAGAATTAGAAGCTAGGCAAAAACGTCGGGATACATTAGTTGGGTGGAAGAAAATGATCGGCTCCTAGTAGGCTAGAATAAGTTTTGAAGTGAATCCGATGTAAAAAAATATGTTGTAGTAAGAACAAGGAGAAATACAGTGATATAACAGAGTGACCGGAATTCTCGGTAGATTCAGAAAACCAAAATTATGAAGACAGTGGTAAGCTGACCATTGTATTCCTCCACTTTTCAATGTAAGAGCGTTCAGAAGCGATCGAGGATCATTTATCCGTTGATTTTCAATAATTTTAGTTTATCTACCTTGTCTCCGAGATTAACTAGGTACTAAGGAATCTGGTTGATTAATTCACGTCTAAACAAGTGGCATAGGCTTGGCAACCTTATCCGCTCTGTTCTTCGCGTGAATCAGCTTAGACAAGTACATGAGAATCAGTAGACACATTAGGCTGTTTGGATGAATATTCTGAAAATAGTTCAAGAATGCGAAATATTCGTGAAGATTACCTTCGTTCGGAGAAGAATTTACTTCCCAAAGTATATCAATATGATCAAAAGGTGGATGTGTAGTTTGATGAACGATTAGGATTCTTTTCGACAAATTCTTCCTCAGTCTCTTCAGTCAGGCATCCATACTGTTCAGTGAGAGAATAAATGGGTGTTGACAGTGCGGTTTTATATTCAACATGAAATTATCATTAATGTGGGTGGTAAAATGATACAAGATGGTCAAAACCGATTATCCCTGAGAATTGCCAATTCCGAGGTTGATTAGGGTAGCTAGTAGAGGTTACAACTGTTTCTTTTGCATACATGATTCAGGCTGCCTAAGCAGAATGGAAACAGCTTCTACTGTTCTAAGTATTCTGTATCTGGTAGCTTTTGCTAAATTAAATTTGTGGTTCGTGTGAGCAGTAATTCTTAAACGACGTCCACTGGAATTTCAATATTCAGCGCTTTCTCCTTCACCTACTCACATACAAATGTATAGGCTCCCCGCTGGGTTAGTTCTTACAGTAGATATATGAATATAAATATTCTCACTGAGTTATAAGAGAGTAAAGACTTCAGCGAACAAATTTGTTTTAGGTAATATCATCCTTTGCAGCTGTACAATCGCATTTATATAAAGTTAAAAATGTCACTTTTTGTTGATCGATGATCATTAGTAGGTTGTGGATGATATACCCTGAAATCAATGAAACACACCCATCCAAAAAATTTGCTTGTGAGAAGGAATCACGGAATCAAATAGCCTATTGGACGTTCTTCCTTCAAGAAGATCAAGTCGGTCAACAATCAGACCTCATAGATTCTTGAGAAGAGCATCAGTACATTGTTATTGGCAATGGAATGACTGAGTTTAACTAACTCTTACTCAATATCGATTTAAGCAGACAGCTATATTAAGGGACATTTATGTCATAGGCTTCAGGATCTAAATCCCACCGGACAGAATTGAACAAGTTGAGCATTAGGTAACTGGTTTGTAAATGAAACATATTTGTAAAATCCCAGCGCGGTAGAAAAAAAATTTACTGACGTCTTACGACTCCGTGGAAGCCGTTTCGTCAATGAATGAAGTCTCGGCAAGTTATTGCAAAAAACTCGACTAGTCAACTAGTTCACGAGCTATTAGCTGGATCTAAGCCAGGGTAAAGAGGGAAGATTGAGCGAAGGGCTAGCACACCTACCCCAGTAAACCAATCCAACTGACAAAGAAACTTCAAAGCACAAACAAAATATCAAACATAAAAATAAACCTATTCATCGCAAGAATCGCAGAAGCGAAATGGCGCCCGTTGGTGATAGCCTTCAGGAAGCCAATCGGTCAATGTATATATAATCCGTCTTCTAGATTAAAAAAATGAAAGGATGGGGACATGGAATGTCCGCACAATGTTTGAAGTAGGCTGGCTGGCTGGCTTGCTGGCTGGCTTGCTGGCTGGCTGGCTTGCTGGCTGGCTGGCTGGCTGGCTGGCTGGCTGGCTGGCTGGCTGGCTGGCTGGCTGGCTGGCTGGCTGGCTGGCTGGCTGGCTGGCTGGCTGGCTGGCTGGCTGGCTGGCTGGCTGGCTGGCTGGCTGGCTGGCTGGCTGGCTGGCTGGATAGCTAGCTGGCTGGCTGGCTAGCAAGGCTGTCCTGATTGCAAAAGAGATGAGGAGATATGGCACAGATGGGCTAGGAATCTGCGAAAGGAGATCGAATGCAAGTGAACTCTCCAAACTGTCAACTGGACAGTCAACAATCTACTCCGATATTGTCACCCAGACGACAACCACGCACGAGCACACTGAGTTCGCGAGTGGCTATCATCATATCCCCCTATCAACAGCATCGAAGACTCTCTCTCTCTCTCTCTCTCATGCAGTGGGAACCAATCTCCTCCAGCATCAGGATGATGGCAGCAAGATGCATCCAACTAAAAAGGGAGGAAAGTTACAACCATACAATGCTAGGCTACAATAAGCATCTACAAATAATGCAGCAGATGAAGAGAAGAAGGAGGAATTCTGTGGACAACTGCAATGAGTACTGGACAAGACTACACTCCAGTTGGCGACATCAAAATCCATTCCAATGGAATGGGTGGTGTTGTGTTGTGTTGTGTGATGTTGTGTGGTGTGGTGTGGGTGGGGTGGGGTGGGGTGGGGTGGAGTGACATGTTCTAATGCGAAACTAGGAGTGGACAGCAGAGGAAGAGAACTGATCATGGCATGGATGGAGAAGCAGTCGGTGAAATGAAGAATGGGAATGGAGGACTGTTTGCAGACTTGTGCACCTTCAATGAATTGGTGATTGGAGGTGAGGCAGCGTGTACAAACAACACAAGGATATTGACAAGGCAGCGACATGGATTTGATTTCACCAGACACCAGGACACACTACACTAAAAATCACATCGAATTCATCTCAATGTGATGAAAGTGGAGAGGCAGTCTACTTGGCACAAGGTCAAGAAGAGGAGCAGATGTAGGTGGTTCACACCACTCACACCAGTATCTAGTGTAAGAAACCCACCTTCCAAATCAAGTTGGGAGCTTTCAAGGAAGTTGGTGATAGACCAGAATTCAAGTTGAACACCCAGAACAGAAGCTGAACCGAAGGACGAAACTACAAAGGACATCTTCACGGCAGTCAGTCATGAGGACAAAATGGGAGACATTGAGCAACATCTCTGAAGGAACCTGTGTGGGAGAACACTGGAACTGTGTGAAAGAGATGTGGAAAGAAACCTACACAAGCATATTAGGAAGGAAGAAGAAACTATACAGGACAGGGAATGCATCTCGACGGACACATGGGAGCTGATAGGGGAGGGAGAGTAAGGTGGTGATGGTGAAGGAGAAGATGAACCAGTGCAGTGCAGTGCAGTGCAGTGCAGTGCAGTGCAGGGATGCACAACGAGAAGAGGAACTGATTACAACCTATAAAACATTACGGTGGACATGTAGGTGAAGCAGAGTGTGCGGAAAGACAGAATAACAGTAATTTCTGCTTTGCTGTACTATCTACTGTAGGTTAGTGCGATACTGTCGATTAGAATTGGACACATTTTCAAATTATCTATTCTTTGCGAATACTGACATTTCAAACAAACTTCATGCATAAAATAATGACCATTCGTTATCACTTGATGTTGATTAATTTTTTATCAGATTGCAATGGAGGTATCTATTTGATCTTCAATGGTGACCAGGGCCTTTCATTCAGGTAACGAAATATGTTCAGTTACCGGAATAGCCTAGGATGAAGACGATTCAAATGTCAAATGGGATCATGAATTGCTGTAAGGCCACCAATAAGCTATGCAGGGTAAAAAGAACTGAACAGAAAACTGTTTCTAAGCCACTAAGTAAAATTTTACTGAGTTAATTGATACACAAATAGAAGGAAAACTTTGTTTACTTTGATGACTTTATAATATTATTATTGTGATTTAGAAATGTACATTGAGATAAATAAATAACATTTATTTTCTCTTTATTGTTGGACGAAAAGTCACATGATATGATAAGAGTTGTACTTTAGAATTAGAAATTAAAATATC